TGATCATTTGTCTGAAGATGCATCAAAAGTAATATGCTTTAAAAGTAGCTTTGATCCCTTGATCCATGGGTTGGATCAAAGAAGTAGTGTTTGGGAGAAGAAACTCCACACAAATGTTTCTTGATAAGTCAGTTAGGTTCATAGGGTGGTTTGATGCATTTTCAACAAGGAGCAGAGCTTTATGGGAAATATTTTTCATAGAATAATATCTCTCCACTGCAGGGCAGAATTGATAGGTATGCTGCTGTTGCCTCCTTGTCAGCACTTGCTTTCTCACTGGTAATCTTTAGGCTGTGTAGATTATGCCTTTTTCTAAACCTGTGAAGCCAGTCTTTGCTTGCAGTAAAAGTTGTAGTTTCTTTAGTACTTGTACTTGCTCCTTGATATGTCTGTTCTTTTTTTCTGTAGGTCTTCAACTAATGAATCTTTCCACTGCTTCGTGCCATCCACCCACAGAGCTAACAAACATTCCATTTCTTCTATTATGTTAGGCGACGCCTAGTTAGTAATTTACCATATGCAGGTGTCGAAGACTTACATTTTGAATAACATTTTCTTTCTCTTTCTTGATAGATGCTATAGTTGATGGTAAGAATTTGAATGCCTTGGCGATCTCTGCGAGTCTCTGGCCTTTATCAAACTTTTTGATGATTTCCAATTTTGTTGATGCTGAGATAGCTTTTCTTGTTGTTTTTTTTTCTTTTTTGGCTTACTACTGGCACTAGAATCACTTGCAGTACACTTATTAATCATTTTGGATATAAGAGCAAAGTCAAATCTAAAAAAAACTTGAGAAATCAGTTGGTTGTCACCTTCCACTATTCAAACTAAATGTGCAGGATGTAAACACATGCCAAAGGTGAGATGAACTCTTAAAACAAAGGCTGGTCAAATTTCGCATGTCACGACGTGAGTTACATTCAAAATTTAATTAACCCTTTTGTTACGGGCAGGTTAAAGAGCGCATGCCATGACCTTTTAGAGTTATTTTCAATATGTTATTAAATAACTTTACTATTACTTATGACAAATGAATTGACATCAAAATGTAGTTTATAACTCAAATTTTGATATTATATGTTTTGATTTCTTACTTTAAAAGGGAATGTAAAGAAAAAAAATGCTAAATATAAATTTTCGTTTTTCACATAGCATCTCTTATTGTCTTATTGGTTCCCCCGTGGGATAACAATAAGTCTACGGACGTACAAAGCTTAAATCCGAGGTTCGATTCCAGTGATAGACACAGCAGGTAGCCTAATGTGGCTTTGCTCTAAAACAAACAAAACAAATTGTCTTATTGCTCAGTTTATATTTTATTACGCCTTCCATAAAATGTGTACAGTGGTTAACGTATTAGAAACTCGAATATGAGATATCGACAAGTTAGAATGTAAAATAAGAACACCTTACCTCTTTGATTTGCTGAGATATCAATATATTTAGCCAATTTAATAGAGTGCCTCCTCTACTATTCCATTCTATTGAAACCTCTTGTTTAGTTTCACCTACTTCTTTTTGCTAAGTGTTTACTACTCAGAAAAAAAAGCACTTTGCTCTGCACGTTTTTATTAAAATCTGACAGTAGTTTGTAAATCGCTCGAAGGAGATAGTCATAATTTCACCGAAACAATTGAAGTGTTATGACTAAGTTGTTGCTCTAAACAGGTACGATATTTTTTTAAAGTCATATATATAGCTTGTTAAAAAAAACAGATAAATTACATTTACAGTGGTTTTGTTTGCGCTAATATTAATAGAGTGAATTGATTATTTTTTGTTTTCTAAATATCTTTGAAGCCTACAAAAATTAATATCTATTCACCCTCCACTTGGAAGAATAAACGAGGCTTACGGCAAGGCTTCGCACGTACGATGCATGAGCACAAAATATTGTAATACAATGAGTACTCGAAATATTTATTTTTTGAAGTAATTTTTGCTTATTCTCCGTGTTTTAATAGAAATAACTAAAAATTTAAGTAATTGTGAATAAGTAGTATTAATTGGTTGATGAATAAATTTGCTGAAAGGGAAATTAGATTTTATAACCATTCGCACAAATATATTTGTATGCCTGTCGGTATACCGCTAAATTCTAAACATTACAGAAGGATAACCAATACTCAAACACTTGCGACGTTTATCAGATCGGCTCCGAACCATGTAATAAACGTTTTCCCAGATTCAAAATGCATTTTTTTAACCATTCTCACAAACAATATCTTTGTATGCCTATACGATATTCCGCTAAATTCCAAACATTCCAGAAAGATAACCAATACTCAAACACTCGCGATGTTTATATCGGCTCGGCTCCGAACATTGTAATGAACGAAATGGTGTATTTAAGTGACTTGCACTCACAAAAAAGAAACCTATCATTCTATATGTATTTGATAACTTATAGCGTTTCACCACAATTTAAATCTTCGTATTTTTAGCCGACACTAGGTAGCTGATACATAATTGAATAGAGTTGTTTAAACATTTGTTTAATAATAAGTAAAAGCTTGGAATGGTCTATTGGGGGTGTGTCTGTGAGCCAGACTAGTTTTGGACTCTAGTCTGACTCTGTGAAGTCTCCGAAACTAGTGTGGCTCACAGATACACCACGCCCCCAATGAAAGAATAAACCATTCCAAGCTGTTACTTCTTGTAAAACAAATGTTTAAACAGCTCTGTTCAACTTGTAATAAACGTTTTTACAGATTCAAAATGCAACCTTATTACTCTTGGGAATTCTCATTGTAAATAATAGGAAACATAAGCGGAAAGCCGATAAATTCCACATCGTGTTCTCGTGGTAATGTAAATACACATTTGACAAGCATAGGAAATATAAGTTTGGCGTCAAGCTGCTTTAGTTGCACATGGAGCTGTTTTGATGATCCTTCCGCGAAATTGTTTGGTCAGCGTTTAACAGTGTGCTGTATATCTGTCAATAATTGGTATTTGACTGTGTCTTCGTAAGAGCTAGTAATTTTTCAAAAATTGTGGTTTTCTATCACATATTGGAGCTTTTATGTTTAAAGGCCTATGGTGAGTTAAAACGACACAGGAGACATTTATTTTTTCTTGTAATGAGCCTATGTTTTTAGTGATATTAAACTTAAAAGTTTGTCACATTATCAGTATTACACAATTCCATTTCCAAATTTCACCATTTCACTTAACTTCAGTCATTATCAATACCTGTAACCTTAGGTAAATTTTTTTGATATGAAGAAATTAATATATGTCTGTCATTAGTGTCAGTGAAATTATTACTACAGTTACCTATTAAGAACAATATTTTTAAATATCTAGGTACGAATAAATAATATATAAGTTAGTTGTCAGGTGAGTTCTTTACCCAACCATAATGTGGGTTTGTAACTGACCTCTACTCTATTGATTCACACAAAGAAACTATTTCTGAGGTTTTTGTGAACCCTGCTGAAGAAATATAATGGTTCTGCATTTCCATCAACCAGGCTATGTTTTTTAACTTTGCTGTTGAGTTTTGATCAATGCACTCTTCTTCTTTACTCTTAGCATTTATCCCAAGCACTTTGGGTTTCCTTTTCTTGTCCTTGTCTTCTCTCTTTCCTATTATGTGTCAAAGCTTCATTCACAGCATATATTCTCATGTCCTGTGTCAGTACATTCATCCACCTTTTCTGCTGTTTTCCTCTTGTCCATTTTCCTTCCATTGTCATATTTATCATATTCAAATCAATATACTCCTGTTCTTTCCACATGACTGAGCCATTTAAGTCGAGTTTCTCTAAAAAAAAATTACAAGCATTTATGAAGACAGTCAAATATCAATTATTGACAAATATTTGTTCTACTTTCACCCTCTCCCTAATTGTTTCATTCCTGGTGCAGTCATTCATTTTCACTTCTGTTATCCACCTCAACATCTTCATGGCTGCCACATTTGTCATCAGCTTCATTTTCTTTCTTAAACTCATACAACATAACTGGTCTTACCACTGCCTTATAGGCGACCCCTTTCAGCTTTATTGGCATCCATCTGTCACACACCACTGCACTAACTTCTCCACTTCATCTATGTTTTCTTTATTCTTTTTATGACCTCTTTGCTTACTCCTCCATATTAATCAGTGTACTGCTTTGTGGAAAAAGAGCTGTACTGGCCCTTTCATAAAGTTGTCATCTAAATGATCACTTGTGACCTACGTGTAATTCATACTGTTCTCTATATAAATAACAATTTGAAATTTCAAGTAGAAACATGTGAGGTGTAAATGATAAATTGTTTGAATTATACACTTTGAAAATGTGTTCAAAAGTTACAGCTGTAAGTTGAATCTAGCAGACAGTAAAGTAGCAGTAGATAGATTATATAAAAATCAAAATAGATATAGATAAACAACTAGTGTGCACTGAGTGGAAAACATTGTTTTCATAATGTACTGTGAAAGACCTTTGAGTAAAGCAGTCAATTACAACTGTTATAATGATTTCCAGGTCAAGCTAAGAATACAGTAACTGGTGTAGAGCTCAGCTGTTCTAAACATTGGTATATGTCTTGAGTAATGAAAATATGCAAGTGATATGTTAAAATTTTTGCTAGAGGATGTAATGAGAAGTGCTTATGTATGAAAAATGTTATTAATTAACTGTTAAACTTGCATGTAAATTGAATGAGATGGGTTCAACAACAAAACTGTTAATAGTGATATAAAAATTAGGTTTTAACAAATACTACAAATACAGGAGTAAGAAACAAATGAGTTATGCCAACCAGATGGGTAATCTATTAATAGTACAAAACATTATCATAATAAATACAAAAGAAAAGTGAATAAATTGTACAATGCACTAGTATTTTGTATGTGATTCTTTTATTGTATAAGAGCATTACACCTTGTTGCTATGGTACCATATAGTTTATCAAAGTATGATTGTAAAATATTGTTTGACCTTATTAGTTTTACCATAAGCCCATACAGACTCAATAATGTTTGTACTGGGACATTGTGCAGACCCAAAATATGGTTGTGCGTGTTCCACCAGCCTCTTTTATTGTTCGGATATTTCACTACATTTTATATATGCTTGGGAGCATTGTCATACTGAAAAATAAATCTTTGCCCAAAAAGTTATGTTTCTGAAGGAATGGCATGATGGAGCAGAACCTGAATGTTGTTGTCAGCAGTTGACGTGCCATTAATGTTTTATAGATCTCCAACATCATTGACTGAGATGCAGACTGCACTTCTGTTTGTCTCAGCTTTTTTAGATGTTTTACATTTATTGTGATACTATTTTACTCTCTGCCATCAAATAAATTATCATTGATTGTTGCATATAATTTGAATTTCTATTCATCTTTAAGAGTAAATGTCTCCAACATTGTTCATTCCACTGTTAGTGGTCCAATGTCCATTTCAACATTTTGGTTTGATTCCCTTTCTCAGCAGCAGGGGCGGATTGGGATGGATAAGCGGCCCGGGACTGGGATCACAGAGTGGCCCTGGACAGGTTTTCTGTTA